TCGTCCTTGGGTACGCTGCTGTAGATGGCGTCCCTCCATTCGCTTCACAGTCCTTTGCATACGCTGCGGTATGCCAAGGGTACTCGGGTCCAACTGCAGACGTTTTGCGCAGAGGAGACTCTCCAATTGGACTCTTCTTTTACTTTCTTCCTGATGTATTGTGGCAGCGCATTGCTGCTTGCTCGACGGAGTATCACCGGGAGATGCTACCACGTCGTATTGACGAAACATTTCTGCGTTATCGCTGGAAGCGGAGGTTGAGCCCGCAGTTACCAACAAAGACAAGGCGAGATATTCAGCACGACTTGGAAGGCATGAAGCCTATCTTACCACACAAACTGTGCCAGTTTGTTGGACTATTGGTGGCAAGGACAATTGCTCCGAACAGAGAAAAACTTGCTAATCACTAGAAGACAACGGATGAGGGCGCTATATCACGAGGGTGTTTCGACTCAGTGCTGTCTAGAGACCGATTCATGGAAATTTCACGCAATCTTCATTTCAACTCAAACAACGACCCCAGGGCTCAAACCGATCGCGACTGGAAGATCCGCAAGCTGGTAGAAGTCTTGCAGCGCACTTTTCTTCGTGGATACGTTGCGCCATCACACTTGGCGTTCAACCAAGCAGTCTTACCCAGTCGGTCATCCTTCAACAAGATGCGCGTTTACATGAAGGACAAGCCCCACAAGTGGGGCACCAAGCTCTTCATGCTATGCAGCGCAGTCACAGCGTACCGCATCAGGTCCGATTTTTTTTAAGCAGCTTTTTACTATCATGCATTATGCAGTTTTGTCTGACATTTTTTGTGTCTTGTTTGCTGAATATATGCAGGTTTGAAGTATATTGCGGTAAGAAACAGCACACTAGCGACGCCCACAAGCCCGACATGTAATCAGGCCCTGCTGCTATTGTCCGAAACCTGCTTGCTGGATTTGGCCCGGATGCTAGAAAGCAGGGAATGCGCCTAGTCGTCATCGACCGGTTCTATACTTCTGTGGCTTTAGCTTTTAAGCTGCTGCAGATGGGGTTTGACTGCGCGGGAACTATCATGACCTCCCGCTTGAAATACTGCAAAGGTGTCGTCGAGAAGAAGAAGACTCGTCCACCCGGGAGTACGCGTGGGTCGTTCAAGG